CCCAAAATATTGATAACATTTTCAAATAACTTTAATTTCGTGTATCTCAAAAGAACTTTTTTTGATATTCAGGCATCATCGCGGGACGCTTGCAGTGGCCAATCTGAAAAATCGTCTGCAGGCTGCAGTAAACGATTGTCTGTATGAATTAACTATGTTATTTAGTGTAGTGTTTTATATGGCACCAATGGCTCAGCATCACATATATACAGTAAAAATTAAATCATTTGCAGAAAAGAGTAGAAGCAGGGACAGGCAGCAGGAATGGCACGTCTATCGTGGCATCTACCACTGACCAAAAGGATGGAAACTCCATTGCAAACGTTCGTGCATTTCGTATCTAAATGCAAATTTGAAGACAATTTATGTTTAAACTAATGCATTACTCATCGCTGATTAATTTTAAACGTCAATGCAAGAACGTCTACAAGGATGGAATGCATGTTCAGGTATGTTATGCGGCAGCGACTGCCATCCATGACACGTGGCGAAACAAAACGCAACGAAGAACAGTTCCAACCCGACATCTGACGCTGAATCAACGTAAATTAGGCGTATAAACAAGAAATTTACGTCCATTATACGTTACTTCAACGTCATTTGCCGGGACGGACAAGCCTTGACTGTAGGCGGCGGCTTAAGTGTAGGTTACCAGACCGGCACGGAAGGCAATGTTCGTTGTAACTTCATTCATTTTATTTAACAATTTTAATTTACCCATTTTCATTGATGAATGAAAAAAATAAATGTCAATGGAGTCCAAGATTCGATGCTTTCAAGACCCATTAATTGTAACATAATATTAACTGTACCAGGTAAGAATAAAATTTGACCATTGATTAACTACCATTTCGAAACAATAGTGTATTTTTTACAAAAGAATTCGAAAAAAAATTCTGGGAAATTTGATCAGTTGTTTACAATATTTATTGATTTTAAATTCGACTAAATTGTTTTATAAAGATTTAAAGTTACAGCCTTCAATGCCGGAGTCAAGCAACATCAACAAGTTTTCAGAAGACTCTCTCGCGTGCCTCTTTCAGGTCCAGAACTTATATTTTGTTTATTAAAATGCAAGAGTTCATACTTGTTTTCCTGGATACTTTTTTGCAGAAGTGAATCAAATTATAAATTTAAATTTATTGTCGGAAAAGCACTCGTCAACCGAACGTGAATTAATAGTTTGAATAATTGTCGTCATTTTCTTCAAGTGGCAATGCAATATAAAAAACATCTAATTTCGACGTTTTTTCATGAAAAACCAATATGAGTCATCAAAGTCTAATATTCGTACTTTCCTGTTTTTCACATTTGAACAAATTCTTAAAGCCGTGAAATTAAAAAAATTTATTGAAAAATTAATAAGCCTTCCTGGCAATTCGGGTTATTGGTGTAACAGAATATAACGCTATGTACAAAATATTATACCTTGTAATTATTTGAAATCATTCATTTTATTTGATATCAAAAGTTAAATCGAATGCTCCATTGCATATTTTACATTTTTTAATCGAACCACGTGGAATTCTCGCTTTTGGAAGGATTTGAAATGTTCTTGTATAACTATAACTTGAATTACGAGGATAAGGTGTGAATTTTCCGTTATTCATCAAGATTCGTATACAGCAACGAATACAATAATGTCAACGAAAATGAAGACTCATAACGTACTATACATATTCTAACGAAACGAATAAGTTTTAAAAACATGTTTCACAGCACGAGTTAACGAACATCAAAAAAGATGGTTATAATACACTGTAAACAATAGCTAATGAATGACTCCCACCAGGTATCTGACGTTGAAATAACGTTTATTAAACGATATTTCAACAAAATAAATCTCCGTAATCAACGTTGCTTCAACGTCATTTGCCTGGGGGTAGAGGCGCTATGGAGAGCCTTCTGAGCACCGCTGAAAAACACCTACTAGTTATCTGACGCCCGCCTGACGCTCCTGTGAGGTCCATAGCTGCAGAGGTAAGAAGTTAGGCTCAATCATACGTGCTGGACTGCGACACTCACCTTCTAAAACACGGGTCGTAATAGTAAAATGTAGTTGCTATCTCAGTCAGCCAATTACTGCCTGCATTTCATAGTAAACTCACAAATCACAGGCGAGTAATCGGCCGCTACGTGTACATAGGCGCTTTCGTGTACATAGGCCGTTACATTGGTGTAGTTTGGCAGAATATTTTCTTTAATGCAGGTGTCATTGAAGACCAGAGAGTATTTCTTATTGACAATTTTCTTATTGTTTGACAATTAATTCGCCGAATAGCGAAAAACAACAAGAAAATTGTCAATAAGAAATACTCTCTGGTCTTCAATCAAACCTGCATTATAGGCCGTTACGTGTACATCGGCCGCAACGTGTACATAGGCCGTTACATGTACATAGGCCGCTACGTGTACATAGGCCGCTATCGTGTTCTTAGATAAGTTTTGGTAGCACGGTCCCGTACATTAGCTTCAAATTGTTGTACAATTTGAATGTTCTTTGTAAGATGTGAACGCTTATTAAAGGGTAACAGATTCGCAATCATCCGTGCTGCTACTAGTACAAGAGAGCTAGTGAAGCTTGGCTTTTTTTGCAAAATTTTGAAATTTTACTTTCATTCATTTTTTAATTATTTAAGTGAAGAAACAAGATCACCATTTTCATTTGCCGAAGAAAATTCATGGGCTTTATTTGAGGTAAATTCGTCTATTTCCGGTAGAAAGTTAACAATATATCTTCATCGAAATGAAAACCGAATTGTAAAATTTAATTCACGGACGAAGTGATAGTTAGAATTTCGAACAAAGTTGAGAGACTGCCGATGAAAATATTTTAAAATCTTACTAAATTTTTCTACTTTCTGTATGGGCGAATTTATTCTCGAGAGAATGTAGTCACCTAACGTATTTTGGACTCACTATTTCGAATACTGTGTTTTTAATTTAAAACTATCAAATATTTATTTTGGACGTATTTTTTCCCATTTTGTTATAATAAACTCAGTCGAAAAGGGCACGACATCAATTTTTGTTTCAGAAAATTTTTCAGAAAATTTATCACCTCATAACTACTTGAAATAAAATTAAAATTTTAATTCGATAAAATATAACGAGTCCCACGATTTTACCTTTAATCGATTAATTATGAAGCAAATCAAGAATCTACAGTTTAATTGAAACTGAATATACATTTTTTCAAGAATTTTCAGTGCAATTCCAACTCCATGTCCACCCACTGAGCTCTATTTCGAATCGAAATACTAACGCTCACATACTCCTACTAGCGGGAGCCGGCAACTACAAACACAAATATTGTTATAAGTGTTATCACATTTAATTTATTCGACGCTATCCACACACAACTGCGTTCTACTCCAATTATTTGTTTATATTAACTCTGCTTGTAATCTCTCAATTACTGTGTAAAGTGATCAAGCGGTGTGCTATCAGAACCATGCTGGAAACAGCGTAATTCTTTCATCGTCGAATCTAGAAAGTTTTCGTATTTTAATGATAGTGATAGCGCAAAAAAGCAAGTGAAATAGTGAAAATATTAGCATGTCAAACATGATGCTCTCAATTACATCAAATATATAGGAAGCTCGTCGAAACTTTTCTGGCGTGTGATGCAAAGTCGCATTTTAGCGGAGTAAGCTCAAGGCAAATTACAGCTTTAACAAGCCTCTCTAAAAAATGTGTGAGTCAAACTTCAACTGTGTATTCAAAAATAACGTAGAGAAATACACAGAGCTTTACCAACTGTCGAGGTTCGGCCTGCGAAAAAAGATCATGATTACAGCAAAATTGTTTTTCGTTCCATTTCTGAACATTGGTACCGTGCCAACAATTAGGCGAAGTAACGTAGAAATTGAAGTGCGATATCCACTTCCTACTCGTGAAAGTTCATAGACCAACCAGAACAAAGACTTCATAGTAATAATGCACATTTTTATTTTTTATCATAGTATGGCGCGTAGGAAGACCTGCACAAAAAATTGTGTCTCCTCGAAGGTGCTTTCTTGAATTACATATAGTTTTTTTTTCCTAATGTCATTATGATGAGAAAACAGAATCCTGTCTCCAATTATAGATGCTTACAATACAGCCAATAATTCATAGACCAAAATTTATTTAAGAGGAAATTCATAAACATCTTTAAATAAAATATATAAAATGTTTTTTTCACAATGGTCAATTTTTTCATTTCAAAACTTTTTCATTTGCTTGTATGCAACTTTTGAATAATATTCAATTGATTAAAGCCTTTGAAATTTTCGATACATTTTAACACTTCAAAACTACTCTACTCCTTCATGTCCGTAAAAATTGACAGTGGAATCAAGAATTAAATTATTATACGAATTGTTTTCATTGAGACTGAACTAGCTCGAAAAATTAAGTTTATGTGACAAACAATTGTGCCTCGCTATCAATGCAAATTATTTTTACATCTTAAAGTGATTTTAAATTTTTTTAATGTATCGAACGTATATGCTAATTTGTGACGGCTGCAATTAAATTTCCAATTGAAATTTAAATTTGTATGTCGAAAGTAATTGATGGTTCGTCTTTTACATCGATAAAAAGTCCCTGTAGTGTCACTGTTTAATGAAAATTCTGTAGTATATTACGGCGCCATTGAAGTTAAATTTTTGACTGCTGCCAATAAATTCCCAACTGGAGATTTCAATTTGAATTTTTGATTGAACAGAATTAAAATTCTTTCCTTGAATTGACAAGTAACCATTTGTGAGAATTGACTGCCGGATCACATAATATTCATACATAATCATAGAAATTATCTATGTGAATTTATTACCGTATGTCATAATACTCATAAATACTCAACACTTTATTTGTGAGAACTCATGGTCGTATCGCGGAATATTCCTAAATATTCATATAATTTATATATTAGAATAGACTGTCGTACCACAGTAAATAATCATATCATATTATACATATGAGAAGTGACAGATATTATGATAATTGTAGCGCACCTCTGGGATCCTCGGCCTCGATAGGCTGTTTGAGTGCCGTGATGTCCCTGAAGGTGCACAGGAACAGCACCACGATGTCCTTCTCGTTCTTGATGGGCGCGATGTGTAGGAGCAGCCATAGTGGCGTTCCTGAAACCAACACTCGTAATAAAATCTTATAATTTTTCATATCAATTGAATAATTATTATTCTTTAGAAAAAGCAACTTAAAATTGTGATATTTTAGGACAATGTTGACGAAAAATGTGAATGAATGCGATAGAACATGGAAAACGACTTGGGAAAAACGATTATTTCAAGAAGCGTGAACCTTTTTGCGATGAAGCCGTTAATAACTTTAGTAAGAGAAAAATACGAAACAATGACGAGAATATCGCAAAAGTTTATAAATTTTATGGAACAATTAAACTGAGTGAAAATAGATGACAATTCACAGAGGGACGAATACGAAGCACTGAGACGGGAACGAGAATTTTGTGAGAATATGCGAAAAGGTGAATAAAGCTAAAACATTTAACTAAAATTAACATATAAGATAATAAATTGCATGCACTTATGAATAATCGTTGCAGGAAGTCCGAAGAAAATTCATCATCAACGTATGATGATTCGAATGTTAATTAGTTAATATCATTAGAAATTTACTGCGCGGTATATGGTAAGGTTTTTTGCCAGTGGCTCATACTCTAATGCAGAGCGCAATACAATTTTGATTTAATTTTTTTTCTTTGTGGTCCTGTTTAATGTGAATAATTAATGAGAAATATTGATTAGGAAGCATGAGAATGCTAATTTCAGTTGTGATTGAAGAAAATTATGTTTTTTATTAAATCACAAGACTAATTGAAACAAATTATTTCCATTCAAAAACTTGAAGATGTTATACATATTTTTTATTAACGGCAGTAACAAATTCATTAGCTTTGACGAGCTAGCTGATCCAAAATTGATTTATATAGATATAAAAATTATTTAGGTGAGCTAGTTGAAATAATTTAATTATGTAGTATTACTCGACTAATGAATATTTTTACATGTAATATTTAGGTTCAAACTACGAAAAAATGCAATTCTAAAAAACGAGTGTACAAAACGACGATTACTTTTATTCATAATTAAATCGTGTCGTTTATACTTTTACGTAAGTATTTAAGTATTTAATGGGATGGTTGCTCCAAGAATGTATTTAAAAAGTTAGAAATGAAATTATCGATCATTAAGATGTCATTTATCAGGATTCAAGCCAATATTTAGAAATTTTGTAATTGGCAATTCGTGCAGATAATTTGCTGACAATTCTAACGATACGAGTACAATTATTATACCAGCAGATGGATTTAGTGGAATTAGTTTAAAATAAATTAAGTGAAATGGTTATTAAATCACTACAAATTCAGATTCAACGAAATACAACAAATCTCTACTTTAAATTGTCAATAAGCTCGTTGTATCCAATGAAATTTTTTGTCATTGAATCCCCGAGTTCATCTAAAAATTTTAACGTAGAAACTGCGCCGAACAATCATTTCTACAATAGCGATAACATCATAAAAATTTCCAAGGGCTGAATTGTAGTCACAGTTGAATATTGTTCATATGGCAGATCCTCTCTGCCTCATTTATCGTTCAATGCATCTAAAAATTTTTCCATCTCGCTAATACCAAATCATCAGTCGCGGCCATCACCCTATCCTCTTTAATCTATCCAGTCCTCAATGAACCTTTTAATTCAATAATTCAATGTTAACAAAATAAACGAATAAACCCCGCATTAATAAGAGACTGGTTTAATAGTTTTTTATAATAAACTCCCAATAAAACCCCCTGGAACAAACAGCGTGCGTCTCAAAGTGCAAAACAGGTTCGTCGGTAGGAGTTCAGTTATTTTCCCCAGATCGGGTCGGGCGATTGCCATTCAAATTTTCCATACTTGGCCCAATACTCCGGACGCGAACTTCCATTTTGCCGGAATGGGCAAAGGCATCGGAAGCACCGGCAAAACATCTAACCAATTGAAAGTTATTGGCGGCGGATCGGTGGCCAAAGAATAGCAAATGAATGGCCGACGATAAAGTTGATTTAATCTCGCTTGCAGTAAAATAGGGAGTCCGAGGCAGATAATCGGTGGCCGGGGTATAGCTACGAGTTCTTCGTCGATAAAACGCCAAGGATTTTAAATGATACGACAGTGCATCCGAGCACGCGAATGGTGAGAGTGCGACGCAGCAGCTGAGAGAGGCGGCAGTGATGGTGAGGCGGTGAGGTGAGGCGGTGAGGTGAGGTGTCAGCGATGGTGAGGCGGTGAGGTGAGGCTGAGGTGTCAGCGATGGTGAGGCGGTGAGGCTGAGGCGTCAGCGATGGTGAGGTGGCGAGGCGTGGCGTTATTTATGGTGGAGTGGTGAAGTGAAGCGAAAGAGACGGTGTGACGGTAAGGTAAGGCGTCAGCGATGGTGAGGCGGTGAGGTGAGGCGTTAGAGATGGTGAGGCGTTAGAGATGGTGAGGCGTCAGAGATGGTGAGGCGTGGACGTGAAGCGGTTAGGTAAGGCGTGAGGGACGGTGAGGCGTGGAGGTTCAGGTGAGTGAAGCGACGCTCGTCCAGACATGCGCGCAGAGACCGTCTGCCAGAGCCGACCTAAAGAAGACCTGTTGCTTGCTGGGGCGCCTACCCCTGCCTTCCCTTGCCTTCCCCTGCCTTCCCTTGCCTATCCCTGCCTTCCCTTGCCTGCCCCTGCCTTCCCTTGCCTGCCCCTGCCTTCCCTTGCCTACCCCTGCCTTCCCTTGCCTACCCCTGCCTTGCCTTCCCTTGCCTGCCCCTGCCTTCCCTTGCCTACCCCTGCCTTCCCTTGCCTTCCCCTGCCTTCCCTTGCCTATCCCTGCCTTCCCTTGCTTACCCCTGCCTTCCCTTGCCTTCCAGTCCATGACATCTTTTCTCTTCATTTTTCCTTCCCCATGTCTCTGTTCTTTATTCCTTTTTGTTTTTACCTCTCTATCTCTCTCTTCTCTGCTGACTCGTTTTAACAGCAATAGATATTTCATTCAAACACCCTCCAATTTCTTCACAACTTAAATTTTCCAGCCCTGCAGATCATAATTTAATTCATTTCATAAACCCTTCATTGAATTCACTCTGAAAATTTTCTTTGTCTTCAATCCTTTCCAGCTCTCTTTCTCTCGTGAAAAATACATTTTTTTATAGTTCCGATATTAATCAATAGTCCTCTAACAAAACTCATCGTTTATGTTTCACCCTTCTGGTCCATGTATTTGTTTTTTATATTTTAATATAAGTTTTTCCGCTCAATCTTTCCACATCGTTGAATAATGCCGTATTTTTTTCAACTCATCCATTGGATCTATGAACATATCTCTCAGAAATACGAGAAGATAGTTAAATCTCGGGTTCAAACACCGTAGAGTTTCTTAGAATTTCTCGCCCTCCATTATTGCGTACAAGGTTTCATAGTCCGTAGGCTGGTCAGTTGCAGGGACACATATGTCGTTAAATGACCTGAGAACCAATAGGTTAATTCAATTTGTGTGTACGTATCCCACATGCATTGCAAAACTATATTTTCACGGATTATTTTACCTAAATCGATGATGGAGTTATTTTCTCTCTTTATACACCGTGATCAACCCGCAATAAATCAGTTATTCTAGCAACCGATACTTAAGCCACAAGTATATTGATATGCGCATTACTATTCCAAGACTTTTCAGAAATGCTTCAGAAAATGTTTTATTCAATTATTCAATAGGAGCATTTATTTTAAGACAAATATCTGACCAATGAACAGCTCGGTCATGCAGCTGTTTTCACAAAAATTATTCAGGATAATCTTAGTTTTAATATGACATTTTTCAGTCGCCCTATTTTGGACGGTTATCGTAAGTATTCCTAGACCGTGTAGTTCAAGACTGTTCTCCAATCTAAGGTTGTAAACATGAAATACCGAACCATTGCTCATAAGTTCTCGAAGTAAAAAATTTATGTCTCTATTCACCAGGGCACTGAGGTTCGAGTCTTTTGTGCCAATGATTTAGAGTTAGAATTCGAGAGAAAAGTACAGCGAACGCCCAGCCCAGACATTTGAATAGAGAGACGTACAGCGCACAGCAGCAGCACTGCCCAGACATTTAAATAGAGAGACGTACAGCGCACAGCAGCAACACTGCCGATACATTTAAATAGAGAGACGTACAGCGCACAGCAGCATCACTGCCGAGACATTTAAATAAAGAGACGTACAGCGCACAGCAGCAGCACTGCCGAGACATTTAAATATATGGAGAGACGTACAGCGCACAGCAGCAGCACTGCTGAGACATTTAAATGGAGAGACGTACAGCGCACAGCAGCAGCACTGCCGAGACATTTAAAGCTGTACGCGTCGAAGCAGACTTCGCACAGCGCTACCTCAGCGCCTTTAAAGCATATTATGTAATGAAAACCACCATTATTATCATCCGATCAAGAGTTTGAAATAATGTGTCTGGAAATTTAATAGCTACCGTAAGATAGGATAATGTAATTCTGCATGAGTCTAAAAACATGATATGCGTATTAAATTATCTGCATACAAGTTACGCGTATTGAATTATCTAGATATGAGTTACGCGTATTGAATTGTTTAAATACGAGTTAAGCGTATTGAATTATCTAGATACGAGTTACGCGTATTGAATTATCTAGATACGAGTTACGCGTATTGAATTATCTAGATTACGCGTATACGAGTTACGCGATATCAAGAATTTAATAAAGGTTACAATAATTAATAAGCGAGGCGTGAAACCTAGTTCTGCATCACAGAGGGAAAAAATAATCATAACCATAAAAAGGAAACACGAACCTTGGATGACTTTAATGAATTGAGCATGATAAATGAGGAGGCATTTACAGCACTGTATGAATAATGATAATGTATAATATTGTCTAATAATGCTACACATAATGAGGCTCGTACGAAAGGGAAAGTACAGCAAATAAATATTCTAGACATTCCTAAACACTTAGCACGTAATAAAAATATTAAGTAATCATACGACACGTCATGAGCCACGCACGACAACAATAGAAGAATAAAGAAGGGAATATTATTGAGAAATAGAAAATTCACCAGTAATAATGAAATTATTTTTTTGTTGTTGTGAATGTTAAGCGACTTGAATGAAAAACATTTCTTGTATCTTTACAATGGAGCAATAAAAAATGAAATTCAATTGAAATTCCTTAGAATTGATAAAATGTTATTTCTATAAAGATGGTCTTTAAGAGAAAGTTCAAACGCTCTTTAAGCTTGAAAAAATAACAGTACGTATGGTATGACTATGAAGAAGGCGGATAAGACATTCATAGGCGGACTCTAATCTAGATTAGATTAGAGTCCATCGTCTTATTTTTTTGAATGTGTCAAACACATGAAAACACCATTTTGCAATTAAATATTAAAAATCGAAACCTCCGGTAATAATATCAAATCAAAATTCCGGGTATAATATTTAATATCACAAAGAGTAAATGGATGAAGATTTTCGAAATGCGTGACAAGTTATCAAAAGCAGGAGGATGCACAAAGATTTTAATTTTGTTTTTTTTTGTCATTGTTTTTTTTATGTTTAGGAGAGTTGAGCGATAAGATCAGGCATCGGGAGCAGAAGTACATTTGATCGGTAATAATTGATCATTTGATGTGGCCAAAATAGGTCACCGGCTGAAAAATGCCAGTTTTTTGGTCAAAAAACCCAGATTATATTGTTTGTCGGTTGAGTAATTACCGTCAAACAATGTACATTAATTACTAAAAAATTGTCAATTATTAATTAAAATTACATATGATAATTTATAAGTAATAATGCTAGATAATATCGCGTTGATAAACGAGGAGTGATATAACTGACTCCTCCTATATAGAGAGTAGAAGCGAAGTTTCATCTAAATTCATAATGCAATATGGATAATAAAAAACATTCAGAAAGTTATTAGCCAGATTCTCAAACTTAGTTACAATGCCTTAAATCTAATTGCTTTTCTCTACAAACAGAATATCTTTGAAAAAAAAATTATTTCTCACTGATTTGCAATGCTTAATTACGATCTCTACAGGTTATTGAGAGTTAGGTTACAAACTGTGATGGTTACAAACTCACAGGTTACAAACTGTGATGGAATCGATTGCTTCAATTTGGCTTTGTGTTTTAAAAGTCCGAAACATTGTAAGAATTTTCGAGAATCTGGCCCTGAGAATATAGATTATAGGATTAAATGTTGACAGCAACACGAGAGTTACCTGGAGGTCCGCTGTCTGTAGGAAGAACAGATTTTGTGTTAGTGATCAAACTGATACAAGTGTACAAACAGGGAAGCCGTGCACAATCTTCGGACTTACAAAATCTTTATAGTTATGCTATTTTCCAGCAATTTTAATACTAATTATCCTAGTTATTGTCATCAAAATGCGTTAGCATTCGCCAGCAGGTAATTCTAGATTAAATATTATCTCATAGAATGTCCAATACAACTTCTATGGAAATTCATCAATAAAAATTTTTTTGTCACAATTAGTCACTAAATTTTGTTAAGTAAAAAAATCCGAAAGCGAAATGAATATCAAAATTGCATAATTTTGTAAGTCCGAAGCAGCGTTCAACAGCGATCTGGCGACCGCACCAGCGATGCATGAGCGTGCAGTGCAGCCTCTACTCCGCAGCTCAGAACTCGTATTTCAAATTAATTTAATTTTCTATAAAACTGCAAACTTTTTAATAAAATAAAACAAACTTTAGTTGATAATGATGTTTCAACACTTTATTTACTTCGACGCAAATATTGCACCATGAACAGATATCAATCAGAACGGAAAGGTATACATTTATTTTTTAATCTATTTTTACGCGGCAATTAATTGGAAATTTTTATAAATGCGTATAGAAACTTTCAACTCAGACATCCAACTCTGATGCTGTACTTTACTGTACCCCCGTCCCTTNCCCCCCCCCCCCAACTAAAAAATTATATGTCCGTAAAATTACGGAATATTTTAAATTTTGTTTACTCGAAGCCGGATCGACATTTCAGGGATTGGAATGAAGCAAATTAAATACAAATATAAAGTTTTTTTATAAATGTGATGAATAATAATCACATGCATATGCTCACTTTGACCACGAACATCATTTTTACGTCAAAAACTAAATATTCTGTCTCACAAGTATCAATGATTTCAATACATTGATTAACAAAACAGTCTTCTATATGCGGGTGTTTCCAGCACATTTATTCCATGCGATCTTCTTTCTAAAATTATTTCCACTGGACTCCTTGAATACGGTATCAATATATTCTCTTAAATAATTGAGTATACGATTTTAAATTCAACGATCGATAAGTTCATAAAAGTCCTTAGCTCACTATAAGCAATTTCCTATTTTGAACTCATGAAAAAAAACTGAAAAATTAGTGTCGAATATCACGAAATTGCATATTAATTCTCAAGTTCCAATTAGCAGTGAAAATTCAGGTAAAAATTTGTTAAATTAATGGCTGAACATTTCCAAAGCAAAGCTGCATGAGTAGAAGGCTGTGGTCGCCCGATGCTACGCCAACTTATCATTATTATCATTACTGAGGCTCGTGAAGTTCATCATGTTAGAGCTCAGTTAAAACTATCACTTCATATCTAAATTGACAGCCTCAAGTCATCCGTGATAAGGCATGAAATATACGGATGATATGCATCCTATGTCTGTATATAGCATTCATGTCTGTGTTATAGCATTCATGTCAACTTGTATCAAACTACTACTAATTTCATATCACAAACAACACAGAACATCGTCGTGGATATCACACCTATACTAGTGTACAGTGCAATATCCAAAAGCCAACATTTCATATCCATAAGCTAACATTACATATTCAAAAAAAACATCACTGGATTATCGGTGACCTTTTAACAGTAGATGATCGCCAATGATTTTAATATGGTCATTCTGAATGTCGTTTACATATATAAATTAAAATAATTTATATAATTAATATAATAAAATTTTTATAGAATTTATATATTATATTACATGATATAAAGTATAATAATATATAATACAAATTTAAATTGTAAATATCGTCAAACAAGACCATCCACGGTCAACGATGAGTCTCATAAGGCCACCAATAATTCGCCTCTGATCTCGTAATATTTCGCAACCCTTGAAAGCTTTAAAGATTTTCCATTAAGGAAACTACAACGACAACCATGCACAATGTGCACAATGAGCTATAAATGGAAACGAAAATTTGTTGACTTGTAAAATATTTATTAGTGTGTGTTGTAAGTTTCCATCGACAAATATACCTAGACAGACATGCAGAAAAATATAATTTATTAACACTCCTACTGAAAATACAATACATTCGGATCTGCGTTCAGCAGAACATAGAAGAGCGTTTTGGTCTGTTTTTTTAATACTAAGCTATTATCATGATAGCATTTTTAACCTACTAAGCAATAACCTCTTCATATATTTTTTTTCTATTCATTTATCAGGCTGAAAGTAACTGGCGTAACATCAAATGTAGTTCAACTGCAGCGTAGTTTTCCATAGCGCCCAGTTGGGTAACCTCGTTGATTGTGACGAGCGGTGTGTGACCGACTTTATCTTCAATGTAATGAAAGTGGCGTTGCTAATAAATGTATTCATCAAGTGGTCATTTGATGATAGCTTGTTTGCATACGAAAGAATTTGATTTGTATTGCCATTTACCAAAAAAATGTATTCTTCTAGACTGAATTATACCGAATTACACAGTATTCATTGATTTCAAATGATAAGGCATTATGCTGTGTCCATCCGGGTACTGATTTAATTGCCTTTGAAGTTAAAAGAATTACATTCATATTAATAGACACCATTGTATTATGAGTTAAATAGTTTTGTTAGGAGACGAATTGATGTGATTGCATTCGCATATTTCAAATTAAAATAGCTCTTATCATTCTATTATTTCTCGAAGTGCGGAGATTTGACTAATCAATTTGTGTGACTCTATAGTCTATCAAATTTTTTAGAGTGAACAAGACCAATCAATTTTTGGGGAGTTTTGAAAATATAGCTGAAAGTAATAATGTATTCGTTATGTAATCTGTGTACATAATGATTTTTAATTCTGAAAAAATTTAATATTGTCACCAGTAGCTGAAAGCAATCGAATAATTGTTTAAATTGCGGATTAGATTTAACTAAATAAATAAAATTAAAAAAAATGAATATGCAGTCTTACTACACGATATAAAACACGTGTTCAAATCATGCCATGCTGATCATGCAACAGAAGCCATGCAGAATTCTGTGACATGGAAAACGGTCAGATAAATAATATATATAATAACAATATATTATAATAATTCTTTATTACAGGTTAATGTTTAACTACATCGCACTAACTAAAATTAATGGGCTAGAGATTTTTGGTAAAGCTCGCTCCGAACATCTCAACGTGGACTACGATTATCCTGCCGCACGCATTCGACAATATCTGCCATGCATTAGATGCTAAAGATTTCAACATTAGTAAAAACCGTGCACGCCTAAGCCTGCATTTTCCATTGTTCTTTTGCGTATCTACAGAACGGTAAATTTATATTCGAGGGAGTGAAAAAGCTTAGTAGCAGTTTATGATTCTCAGAATTATTGATTTTCATTCTTCATTCATTAAGCGCCTTTTTATCCATAAATGAGAAAATGCGATAAAAATTAATATATAATCAGATCATTAGTACAAATTTCACTTAAAATTAATCGTTATATTCATAAGAATACTCTTTTTCAAAATGTAATTATTCATATCACTGAATGAATTATTCACGATACTTTATAACGAATTCATCGTCAGAAAGGGCGCTTAATTGCTACTAATCTCTAATTAGGCTCCGCATTAGTAATAATTACCTCAAATTTAATGGACAAAAACTCTGTCGCAATAATGAGCTCGACTTCGAGGTTGAAATTAGCTTTAAATGCAAGAGTTGCTGGTCACGAGTTTGCGTGAGTGAAGAATTTTATTTGAAGTAAAGCACGTGACAAAATGTTTATTTCTACCTCTGCAATTTATATTATTCATCAATGTTCAACAAAGCGTTGAAACTACCGCGTTTTATGCATTCAATAATGAAAGATTTTAATGCAGGCTTCCGGCGTTAAGAAGGATCAGGCAACAAGGGAGAAAATTGAAGTGAACGGCACGAGGGAAAACGGAGAGAAAGAGAAAGGGTAGAGCGATAAATAAAAGGAAATGATAAGAAAAGAAGTACACAGAAAGAGTAGGAAAGAAACATAGAACGGAAAGAAAGGACAAGAAATTTAAGGAAGACCCACGCAAAATGCTGGCCTATAGTTACCCTTGACTCGTCCAGCGCCGAAATGTGGCCTAGCCGCTGTAAAAAAAGTGGGACTTAGGGACGGCTGGGACTGTCGGGGAGTGTCACTTATAGACGGCTGAGACTGTCGAGTAATGGCTCTTAGGGACTTGGGGTCGGAAAGTGGGACTTAGAGACGACTGGGACTGTTGAGGAGTGGCACTAGGGACGGCATGGACTGTCGTGGAATTTGATAAAATGACGGCCGGGACTGTCGGGGATTAGCACTTTTAGACGGCTGGGACTGTCAAGTAATGGCTCCTAGGGACTTAGGGACGGAAAGTGAGACTTATGGACGACGGGGAATGTCGAGGATTGGCACTTAGAGACGGCTGGGACTATCGGCGAATGACACTTGGGAACGGCTGGGACTGTCGGGTATGTGACTTAGGGACGGCTGGGACTATCGGCGAGTGGCACTTAGGGACGGCTGGGACTGTCGGGGAGTGGGACAAAAGGATAGCTGGGACTTTCGGAAGCACGTGGCACGTTCCAGACTGTAGGTATGACTCGAACATCGCAGGACTTTTAGTGGGACGGGACATGAGTGTGTCAGTCTTTATGGATGACCAAAATATCAGGAGAATGTCTGTGGGTTGTGACAGGTGTCAGACTGTTAGTATGGCTTTACAATTTTTGGTTTTTTGAAAAAGTACGGAATGAGAAAGAGTTATGTGCGCCATGATATTTGATGTGTGGTGGACATGGATCTTTGGCTCCGATAACAGGGATTTAGAGTACAAGATGTTTTTTGTAATAACATAAATAGGAAAGATGGGTTTTCCATTTACCAATGACTATACATTTTCCAGAGCTGCAACGTTGAGCAACGACTGATAGTTTGAGGAATAAATATCCGAGGATGTTATTTTGGAATCCAGAAGGAAATAAAAAATGCAAAATAATTGAGAGAAGATCGTAGATAATAAGATCTGTCTGTGAGGCTTGAAACAAAACAGACTTAGAGAGACCAAATCACAGGATTAGGTCTGGAGCAGTGATAAAAGCGTTGAAAATGTTTAATTTATCTTTCTGTAGTAATTAAGTCTTGCCGGTGATTATGAAAAATATTTTCTGTTTTGGAGATAATAACACTATTTTATAGGATGGAATTCTTGAGAAATAAAATGTTTTCTAAACTAACTTCTGGAAAAAAAGGATTGGGCCACAAATTATATTTATTTTTGTGGATTTCAACTAAATGAATGCATTTAATGGCATAGTAACAGGTGGAACACTGAAGAATTATTCAGAGCAAAAATTCACCTAATAGAATTAATTAAAATTAACAGTTGAAGTGGAGGCATTGATGCAGATCGAAGATGCAGAAAAAAAAATTGAAAGAAAACGATGCTTGCAGAAAAAATATTGCGATGTACAAGGATGAGATTAGTTGCATTGAACGTAATGTGCGCTGCACGACAGAAGTGAGTACATTGCACAATATCATCAATGTCATAGCATTAGCATAAATAGGAAAGAGAGTTGAAACGTGAAATTGGCACAACTGTCAACTGCTGAAACCATGAAGTGACAATGACTTAGTACATGTCTTATTAAGTCCACGATATAATTGGCTGAAATTTAAATTACTCTACAGTAACTATTTTGCTGATTTCAATTCTAGAACAGACAGCATTTTTCAGTCAATAAAAAATATGAGTTAGTACAAAATGCTCAAAAAATAAGGGTTAAATTAAGTTATTGACACGTCATCCTCATGATTTCAGCAACCAGATCAAAATGTTATTTTATTGAATATGTCAAGAAAAATAGCTCATGCTAATAAAAATCACAAGCTAATTGGAAAAGGTTTAATTGTATAATTTTTATCAATATGGAACATATATGAATCTATCCAAAATAATCAATAAATCCTAAACTAAGCCAATTTTCTAAAAATAGAAATATTCATAGTTTGTAAGGATTTAAACTCTGCCTACGAATGATTAACATTGTTAACATTTATTCTTTTAGGAGTAAATTAATCAAGTTTGTTACAATTGTTTTTATATAATATGAATCGCTCTTTGGCTCACATTATATGTATGAAATATAATATACATGAAATTCATATCAATGAAATATAATTGGAAGCTTTCTTAAATTGTTATAATTGAAGTTATTTTATGTCAACAGATATCTAGTTGTTTGTATTTATACAGTAAGAAAACTACTTAATTTTGCCTCGTTGCTAGGTTGTTTCATTGCATTGCTTTGAAATAAAATAATTACCCATTAGTAATTTGTGTAAATGTAGCCCTACATGATTTAATATTTAGGAACATCAGATGTTGATATTTCCATTGCAATTCAAATCTCAAACACCCAACGAATATTTTTTGCTTCACTCGTAAGATAAAAAAATTAATTTCATTGATTAGAATTTAATCTTCCATTAATTATAAAATCCGACAGTTTCGTTTTGAAAATTAATTAGTATGTTGAAGTCTTTGATATTGTGCGTAAGGAAACGGCAGTGACACAGCAGTGGTGCAATATTACTTGTTTTCATTTTAAATAATCCAACTCCCTGATTTAATTACACCATAAAAGTCATGTTTAGACTTAAATGGAACTTCACTTATTTAAAAAATAAATTCTTTCTAAGCCAATAAAAGATTAAAAGAAAGAAGTGTTTTATTTTTTATCGCAATTGTTTTATTCATATTATTAGTTATATACTAATTAATGTATTTATAATTTGAAAAAAATTACTATTTTAGTAAGTTTTATTTATCAATTAGCTGAAATGTTAATTAGAAGTACAGAAAACCCAAGGGTTTGTCATAATTCCCCAGTTTATCTTTATTACACTTATTATTTGTTTTAATACTTAAAATTAATACTTATTTATTATTAAAATAGCAAGAAAATTTTTTGAAAAGGTACATTATATATTTATAGTTTTTATGCAATAAAATCAGACCGCAAACAATGACAAACTAGGTTTAGCCTAATTTTAATCAAGCATTAACTCGTTTGGTGTGAGGATTTCATTTGATATGCTTCAATTTATGTTAATTTTATATTAAACTCAAATAATATTAAGTGAACATAAGCTTGTTAGAAGTTGAAAGTAGTTAGAGTTTGGACCTCAAATATTGTGAAGTAAAAAATAAAAATTCATTGACCGATTGTAAACGAGGCGCTAGCTGACTGCAGAGCATTGTGTTAACAGTTCATAGTGTCAGTGAACAAATAATAGTGTCAGTAAACAGTTTATAGTGTCAGTGAACAAATAATAGTGTCAGTAAACAGTTTATAGTGTCAGTGAACAAATAATAGTGTCAGTAAACAGTTTTGAACAGTTAATAGTGGCAGTAAACATATAATAGTGTCAGTGAACAGTTAATAGTGTCAGTGAACAGTTAATAGTGTCAGTGAACAGTTAATAGTGAAAGTGAACAGTTAATGGTGATGTCAATACTATAAGTTGACAGTTCAAAATCAGCATTGTTAGTTGCCCGTTAATTGAGTCAGTCAATGTCTGAAATGCAGCCATAATTCGAACCCGTTAACAGTTAGCGCTTTGAGTTACATTGTACCTGTATATTTAATAATTGAGTTAGTAATTGAGTTACATTGTACCTGTATATTCTTATTTTTCAATTGAAAAGGCGTAATTATTTCGCAGTATTTTGTGTTTCAAACAAGAAAACATTTTGTGTTTCATACAGAACTCTGCAAATTGTGTTACTCGGCAAAGTACACAGCAGCGTAGTATAATTTCTCTTAATCCTTATCTGATACACGAATGAGTTTGTTAAATTCTATCGATTAAATAATGAATCAGTCCCCTGTTTTTTATGTTAGATTTGGTTTATAAATACATACGAGAACATAGTATTCGATGAAGATAGTTGTGAAATGTGTCAATCGTAAAAATTTCATACATGTCTCAGTTTATTCTGGCTAGAATGATTTAAATATGAATGGGCTTGAATTTATTGAGTAAAGCTTTATCCATACGAGGGATTGAAAAATCGTGTTATGAATCGATTAGAAGGCACTTTATCGTTTTGAGAGCTTCTTAGTTAAACATGTCTTGCGATGTGCATGACTTTAGAAAAACTGTAACCGGGTTACTTCACCACCTTTAAATAAATCCTCAAATATCAAATTCATTAAAAATTATGTTAGATAATATTTCAGTCATTTGACAAAGATTATAGAATAGATTTCAATGTTTTCACGCCATTCTTACCTTATACGTGACTTTGTTAGCGGGCGATGGAAGTATCTAGGCAATGTATGCATTTGAATAGCGTTTTTGTGGTTGATGCTGGCAAAATTAAAACAAATTGAATAATAAGATAAACGTTTACCTTCTCAGCTCACTATTGTACAGATGCCGTACTATCAAATATAGTTAAGAGTCTGCAACTCCGTCATCCAATCACTGACGGCTTTTAGAACTGAACCCACCAATCACTGACCAGAAATCGGCCGCTACGCGTACTTGAGCGATTTTTGATAGTACGGCCCCTGAGAACACAAACGTAACTTGAGAAAACATATCCTGATTTTAATTGCTGTTAACCTCGCCCACAAATAAAATAAATCCATCCATTGTAAATAAACTTAAGCATGTTCTGAAACTTGATTTCCTGTATATTGAACAACTTACGATTTTTCTTGTAGAGGAGAATCTCGAACTGGTCTTGCTGCTGGTTCTCGAGGCACTGCTCGAAGCGCGTGATGGTGTCTTTGTCGGTGAGCTCCCCGTACATGAAGTTACAGCGCACCGGCCTCTGCATCACCTGGTGAATATCGCTGGATGTAATACATGCAATAGTTTACTGAATTACATTATTCGTGTAAAAACGAATAAATTCGAACAGTTACTTAAATAAGTAGCAATAATTATGATCCCCCTACATGAAGTTACAGCGCACCGGCCTCTGCATCACCTGGTGAATATCACTGGATTTAATACATGAACAAGTTTACTGAATTCCATAATTCATGTATAAATGAATGAATTAGAACTGTTATTTGAATCGATAGCAATAATTGTGAATTTAAACGACATATGCTATTGATTTTTAATATGGCTCGTTATTATTTTCGTTCCTTTAATTGGGATTAGTAATTTATTTTTGATCCATAAATGCAGACGTCGATTTGATGAACATTACAAAAGTAACCACCTGTACTCGCACTGAAAATTTTTTTAGACTAGTGACTTTGAGGCCGCACCTAACTTAAAAGCTACGTTGGGGCTGCACGTAGCTTTTACGTAGCGTTACGTAGTTACGGACAAAAAAAAGTTACGTAGCGGACGCACGAAATTCATTACGAGGCGCAATGCACGAGTGAATATCATCGATATCCCTTACGAGCCAACGATTTGCAGTTCTGGTAAGAATAACGCTGCGACGAATGGCCCAATTGGTCTCGTAAATGTACAGCATGGCGTTCGTTTCGTTTTCAATGCAGAAAAAATGACCATGCATTAAACACTAAGACTGCATCGTTTTATTTTGATTCCTACGACTGAGATTAAGGGCAAAAATTTTCGACAGCATTATTTCAAAGAAAAATTCAAAGAGTATTCAATGAAATTGTGATTAGTTGACAGTTAAAGTCGAACTAAAGCTGGCCAACCATGCAAAAATGATAGCGGCCATAAACCGCTCTTATATCTCAATAATTTTCACTTCACAGCAAGGATTATCTCACGGGTCAGGTCCCAAATTGCTACAGATTTTCATTAAATGAAATCCGGAATATCGCGTTGTCTCACCAGGGATTTCACTGTCTTGAATAATGACAGTAACATTTCAACACACATAAATGTGACCTCGACAGAGGAATTATGGCCTAGAGTCTTATTATCGTGCCATATATTTGATGGTAAATATTCTTGCAGTATTTTCTATCCCGCCTCGGCCTCCAAAACTCTAAGTAGCATCAATCAATGATACAATTTGCAGTGGACGAAATTACCATTCGAATTCTTTTTATTGGACAGCAGTGTACAGCGCTGAGCTGTTTTCTTATTCAAGTATTAAAATTGCCTGAACTTATAAGTAATTTACGTTATTGAAAGTGCTAATACTGGCAACGACGAATTTGGCTGCGTTTTTGAATGCCAAATTGTCAATATTATTGACAATTGTTACCATTATAACACTTAATAGAACATTGGTGCTACGCAGCCCAGCAGTCGTCCGTTCCCAAGGGTGGGCTGATGACGTAAATTGTTTCTCGCATTTGCTTTCAGTTCGTTGGCTTGATAACACAATAAGCTCCTCAATATTTTATGTTAGAGTTATTCCTATTTTTAACGTTCAGATAAAAAGTAACATAAGTCCATACCTAAATTTAATGTTTTGATTCAGCTTATAACTTAATATCGTATCACGAAAATATATATCAACAGTGCGCATCCCACCTGTTGAACTAATCAACGGTTATGTGACCCCCAATTAAAACTCGTCTCTACCAGCGCCCTGTCTATTGATATTTACCCGCAATTTCAATTCGTTCATTATTGATAAAATTAGAATTGAATTATATTCTAATTTTTAAAAACTATACTGTTTCTCCGGTGCTTCTATGTGGGTATAAGTGTCGTGGGCATAGTCATTGCGATTAAATTTATTTTTACAAATTTAAAATCAAGTTTCCATTTCTGATGTAATGCTTATTCGATACGTGGCACAAAGTTCAACACACAGCAATTGTGAGTTGAACACTATTACACTTATGGAATTTGTTTTCTCATAATAATATCGTGGAATTCAACGTTGAGCCCTTCGAAAAACAACAGCTAATTTATGGGAAAGACGATAAAATATTTGATAGAAGGGAGATATTTTATTCATAATTGCTACATGGAACAATGTTTACATGTCACTCTACATGTTCAGGCTTAAATAGCACATAGACGCTGCACGGCGCAAGGCCAGTATAGCTCTCGACTGCCATCAAACTTTGCTCGGTGCATTTGTACTCCTGTGAACTTCTGCACTTCGGTACTACCGAGCCTTCCCAGGTTGATGATAATAATGATAATGATAATGATTGTATCCACTGATAGTAATACTCTGATTTATGACTGTAAGTATGATAAATGCATATCATTTATATAAATTATAGTTATAAATTATAATTTTCTCGAATGCAGTTATGATCTTTCTGTTCTGCATTCGTTAAGATGAAGAATCTATATCGAGTATTGGATTGACCATCTTAAGTTTGGGAATCACAGTCAATGTAAAGAACTACAAGGAGTCTCAGACGAATATACAGCACTCTAGCATCGACACACCTAAGACTCGCTCTTCGTGAATGTATGCAGATTGAGAAGTTCCGCTATTATATTCTGAAAAAAATATTTCTCAAACGTCGGCTTCCAAAATATTATTATTAAAATCTTTAATGGATCTGGCGTTCGCTGCTTTCTCCGGGGACCGCGTGAAAATTGTTGAGCACCTGACACGGTCAAATTGAATTAACAGGATTAATTTCCATGAATAATTGCGCATTTCTGCCGCATACTGCATATAATACAAAATAAAGTAGTACAAAATAAGGGCAATCTTCAGATTTCATTTTATTGTTAGGTATACAATTCTGAGGAATAATAAAATCAGGCCTACTGTCATCGACTCCTGATCCGACGTCGGCCAGGGCTCGACAGCGGTGCGTACTCCGCGCAGTAAATTTCATCGGCTCCTGCGAATGGAGATTCTCTGCTGCGCAGCTGAGCGGCTGAGGATTAGTACCGATGTTTCTAGGATCACGAGGATCCAATGCGGAGAGCTTTGAGTCTTACCCTTAGAAATCTGAATCTACCCTGAATTGCTCCGAATCTGCCCAGAGTGGCTCCAAATATGCCGCGTACGGCTCTGAAGCTGCCTGCCTGGCTTTGAATTGCTCCTAGTCTTTCCCATAGAATTTGATTTTTTCTGGATCGCTTCGAATCTAACCGAATGCATCTGAATCTGCCTGAATAGTTCTGAATATGCCAGTGTGGCTCTAAATCGGCCTCGAATCGGTAGCAGGTAACGCAGGATGGATGATGCACAAGGCACACTGCACAGTGCTCCACTGCGTATTATATATATAAAGTCTAATGGTCTTCCATGCGTAATCTACTTAACTTCGAGGTAATTTTCAGCATGAAATCCACGTCAGTTCGAGACCATCTTCATTGTGGAATCCATGTCACTTCGATGCCATCTCCAACCTGAAATCCACGTAACTTCAAGGCCATCTGCTACATGGAATCCACCTTACTTCGAGACCATCTCCGACATGGAATCCACGTCACTTCGAGGCCATTTCAAACATGGAATCCACGTCGCTTTGACGCCATCTGCTGCATGGAATCCATGTCACTTTGAGGCCATCTTCAGCATGGAGTCCATGTCACTCTGTAGTCTAGAGCCATCTTTTCTTTGCATAGAACCGCATTTTCCAGCCTCGAACAAAATAAAAGACATAATCTCATTTGTTTGGACAGCCGCGGCAGCACTCGCCGTGAATCTCCATTGTCGAGGCAAGCTCCCTGAGGGAAATCTAAACCGACTGATAATCCCTGGATGGACGGCTTATGGAAGGCCACCAATAAAACTGCGAATATTTTAAATAATGTAATGGCAGCTTGCGAACTGCTTTCCTCACAAATGCATTTGCCGAATTTTCTCGCGGCTTGTCGTCGCATGTTGCGTTGTGAACAAGTGGTGTCGGCAACGCTGCAACGTTTGTCTTATCCTAGTCGAGTTCTAAACTTATTTAGGCTTTGCATAGGAAATGCGCCTAACCTGATCACTGAGAAGATAAGCCTACTACCCCGCTTATTGAAGTACCCTAACTAGATAGTCTATCCGCTACTTATTAATGTTTTTTTTTTTCAACGTAATCTTGGGTATTTATTACTGGATTGTTTAAGCTTAATTTGCTTAATTTTTCTTAACTTTCTTATTCACAATGGGTTAAGTATTCACGCGTATATGGATTATTTATATAGGTTATGTTGAAACCAAAAATATGATCATTGTGGTTTTGTTGAGCGTGTATATTGCATCCGGAGGCGAGAAACGCGACCCTACCTGCTCGACTGTGAACATCTTCCTTTATCCTCGACCATGCCGTAGTTGAGTAAAGATCAAACATAAAAGAGAATCGTATACCTTGTGATCGCTGTGCATCTTATAATTATCAAATAACTCAACTTTACAGTCCTTGAAAACTTCCGATTGTTGTGCATTTTTCTAACATTAGAGAACGTGCTCGCATTATATAGTATCGTCATTTAATTTAAGGCCCACGAGTCATTTGCCTAAAATCAAATATCGAATCATCGATCATTGGAGAACTTGCGATCATCGCACAGTATGCGGCCACGGAAATGGTTTCCGAGGATAGGGCCCTGAATATGCAAAGTCCAAACTTGAGCTGATCTCAGCTCCGAAGCGATACGCCTAAGTTTGATGCCAAACTTCGCGCTGACTTTAGAGATAATATTTTAAGCTTTTTTAACAATTGCGAAGGTCTCAAGCCAACAGGGCTGACCCTGCCTGGATTTTGGTTGCTGGAAAAACCAAACGATTTTATTTGAAAGTTTTCATATTTCGGGCTGAATTTGCAGTAAATTTTTCTTTCTTTGTTGTGATTATTTAACATCAATACTTTTATATAAAAAGGTAACTTTTTTTCAGGACCCTAGCGTATCTACGGGCTTCCCTGATCGAAAAATCGTCCAAGCTTTAGTTGCGGATTTAGTAATCAAAATC